CATGATCACGTAACCACTGGATGCTGCAAGTGGGTATAAATGCAAGCCAGTTTTGCCAAGTGACCAAAATGCAATTATGTGACTAGGGGGATGGTGCAGCAATCATAACTTCAAGGATGGTTTATAAATAACTTTAAAAATCTGACCTAATTTTGAACAGTCATTAAACTACCTGTCATAAATCAAGGGCTACCTGTAAATGTAACAAAATGTATATATACAGCCCCTCTCTGGGAGATGGGTGGTTAAGAAATATGAAATATAAATAAATAAAATCTATAGCTCTACATGGCACTCCACATAAAAGATAGAAATACATTTCATGAAAGTAGAGGAAAAAATACAGTTTTTGCAGATAGTAGATGTTCTCAACAAATGGAAAAGGAGATATTCCTCAAAAAGCCTAGGAAGTAACTTGCAAAAGTTATACAATGGTAAATGATGTATATTATTATATAAAACTGATAATGTATAAAAGCTTCAAAATAGAGAACTGAAAATCATATTTTTTGTTAGCAAGTCTTAATACCTATGAGTACAGCAGGTATCAGTTGTATAATCACAAGAAATAGATTTACCCCACAAATACCCTCTAAATCTGAAATGTAACATTAATTTGTAAGATTTTAATTTTGGAAGGTGTTCTTTGAAAAGTCCCCATAAGTAATTGTTAGTTTATCAGCTTAACTATGAGATGCAAAGTCAGAGAAACCAGTGGGTTTGTCCTGAAGCACAACTGATTTGTACAGATGCATGAACTAAACTGAAGGAGGATGAAATATTGCAAACTATAAAGGAAGGACTGAAACTCTTTCCAGAAATCTGAAGTATTAATATGCTTATTACTTTTGGAAATTAGGTTGAGTTTCACAATTGTTGCTGAGTATTTTTAAATAGTAATTATGGTATTGAATTGACTTCCCTGTATTGTGAATTTTTTAAAGAAATGCTTTGTTAAAATAAATATGATTATTAAAGATGAAGTTAGTTAAGGTGACCAACCGTCCTCCTTTAGGAAGGACAGTCCTCCTTTTGTAAGTTCTGTCCTCCCTCAAAAAGCGTCCTCCTACATGTCCTCCTTTTCGATATTTGAAGATTAATCTGCAGGACTTTTTTTTCCCTCATAGAATGCTCAGAACGGCATTCCGGCACCTTTTTTTGATGGTTTTTTTTTTCAACTTTTGCATGTGCTGTGCTACTCCTGCTATTGGCTTTTGAAAGCCAATAGGAATTGCTGCTGAGCGTGCCAAAATACCCAGTCGGCAAACTTTGCACATGCAAGTTGTCTGTATTATTGTTGCAATGAATAAAATGTTTCTTTTATTTACGATATTTTTTCCTTCAATTTATTTGTGTCCTCCTTTTCATTGTAAAAAAGTTGGTCACCTTAAGTTAGTTACAGAAGAAGTTGGACTACCAAATCAGACCTGTATATTGTAGAGAAGGCTGTCCAACCAAGGTGTGTAATTAGGAAGGTGTGGTGGAATTAGCAAGAATCCAAGCTTGCAGATGTGTCATATATTTAAGCAAAGAAAGTGTATATGTTGTTCATTTTTAAAAAATTCTCCTATCTGATGTTATATACAGAAAAGGAGGATAGAAAAACTCTTGTACCTGTAATACATTTTAAAATCTTGGCAAAATCATTGGTAAGTGTGTTTACATTTCCCTAAGGAAGAAAGGTGGCCCCTGCCTCTCTTGCGCTTTGGCACCATCCATTATTGGCTTCAACCCCATCAGTTATTAGAAGCAGCTATGGATTAAAAAAAAATGATTTCTCACTCATTGCAGTTGCTTTCATTCTTAATTACTGAGACACCAAGATTTAATTTCTATGCTGCTTTATGATCCTTAAAACAAAATTAATTCTATATGTATTTGCTGGGATAGATGGATGGAAGAAGTAGTGGACCTACCATCTATTTATCTTCTGTATACTACTAAAACTCTTGTGTCTATCACCTTTAAATCAGGGGTAGGCAACCTTGGCTCTTTTATGACTCGTGGACTTCAATTCCTGGCTGGCTCAGGATTTCTGGGAGTTGAAGTCCACGAGTCATAAAAGAGCCAAGGTTGCCTACCCCTGATTTAAATGGATGAAACAGTGCATCATAGGACCACCATTTTTGAATGAAAGTACTTTAAAATAGGCTAACTTATAGAATGCATTCAAAATCCAGGACCTAGGACTCCCATAAAATTGAAATTTGGCCAGATTTGGTGTAGGTGCTTCAGTTCTACCACACTGCCATCCAGAGATTTAGTAAACTGGCCCTAGTCTAGCCCTCTTGTAGCCAAGTAAATCAGTCTCATCATTGGCTATTGGAGGGCAATCAGCTCAGATAAGTTAGCAGGAAATCAGATGTTGCTCCTGGTCTTACGGCTGTTTTGACCATTGTCATTCTGCTTCTCTGTGTAGGAAAGGGAATACCTCTGAAATGATGATCCAACAGTTTACAGGTTGTCTTAAGCAACATGCTACCTAAAATGTATTAACTAGATTGTGGTTTAGCATGTTATATAAATGCTACAAATTAAATATGCATATGAAAAAAATGTGCTACAAATTGGAACTGATGGCAGGTGGACCAAGGAAGTCATAGAATGGATCCCACTTGATAAAAAGCATCCTCGAAAGAGACTTAAAACAAGATGGATTGATGATATCTGCAAATATTAGGGGGGGCAATTGGCAAAAGAAAGCTCAGGACTCTATTGGTTGGAAACATGCAGGAAACCTTCATCCTGCAATAGGTAGACAATGGCTAAAACAGTGGTTCTCAACCTGTGGGTCGGGACCCCATTTGGGGCCGAACGACCATTTCACGGGGGTCGCCAAACAACACAGTCCGCCATTTTTTTCCCCTTTTCCTTGGCTATACTACTCCCTTTTATTCTATTGGCTTTTGAAAGCCAATAGAACAGACTCTCTTGAATAGAGTCTAATTCTATTGGCTTTCAAAAGCCAATAGGAATTGTCCAGGCTGTCTCTGCCCTGCTGAGCCCGCCAAAAGTCCCACTCTGCAAATGGTGCTGCAAGTTGTCTGCAGCGAAGGCGAGCTGTCTGGAAGTTTCCACCTCTCCCTGCTGAGCAACTACTAAAAATGTAAGTAAAAGAGGGCCAGGGGTGGGAGGTAGGAGGCCGGCGGGCGCAGGGAGGGTTGCTGGCACGCGTGGGGCCCGGTGGGTGCCTTACCTCCTTTGGGCTGGGCCAGCTGGTGGCCCAGCCGGTGGTCGGCCTGCGCTGTCTCTTCCGCTTGCCAGGTACGCCTCAGCTGGCGCAGGAGGCGGCACCACACATGCGCGGTGCTCCCGGGCAGGGAAAGTCCTCAACTTACGACCAGTTGGGGTTGCGGCATTAAAAAGGTTGAGAACCACTGGGCTAAAATGATTAAAATATGGAACTGAACTAAATAGAGACAGCAGAGCTGGATACAAATAAAATTGCTGAGGTTTGCATTTAAAACATGAACATTTATTTATGTATTTTATATTCTATATTACTACATTCTGCAAGGATTCATCATGGTGTACAATTAAAACCCCAAAGAGTAAAGTCAATAGAACAATAAAACAGTAAATCGGCATGATATGCCAAGAACACAACAAATAAAATCACAGGTACATCAACATTGTTGCAATTAATATAAATAGGCATTTCATGACCAGAGTTGATCTCCAAATACCGTACAAAATATTCTATTTTCACAATTTTTCTAAAACTCAGGAGCAAAGGAAGGCAAGAAGCTGTTCCAAAAGATGGGCACTACCATTGAGAAACCTTCACATACTCCCCCATAATGTGCATCTTGGCAGATTCTTCTGGAAGCAGATGGTGTTGCAAGTACCCACGTTCTAACCATATATAGCTTTCTAGGCCAAAATCAGTACTTTGAATTGTGCCTGGAACTCTGTTGCAGCCAATGCAGTGCTTGCGACCGATGTATTATATGTCTGCATGTGAGTTGCTGTGTTTTTTAAATGTTATTTACTTCACAGGTTTTTCTAGCCCACTAAATTCCAAATAATCTTACTGGATTATAACATATCCAAATATAAAAGCAATATTGGTAATAAATGAACTAGGACTAAATCAAATGGTAAACCAATTGTACTTCAGGAGAGCCTAACTAGAGTAATTTTCTTCTATTCAATTGTGCACAATTCTTGGGCAAGGTTTTTCAGAAGTGGTTTGTCGTTATCGCCTTCCTAGGGCTGAAAGAGAGTGGTCCAAGGTCATCCAGCTGGATTTGTGCCCAAGATAAGATTAGAACTCAAATGTTTCTAGCCTGATGCCTTTGCCACTACACCAGACTGGTTCTCAACTAGAGTCAAATGCTCAGTGAAATAAAACTGTATTTGAAGATCTTTGAAGTGCAGTTTGAAAACAGTGTTTGAAGGCTGCTGTCCCATGAAGATCATGCGGTAATCATTCTAAAAGATAACTGACAATGATGAAGTCACATCCCACAATAGAAGAATGATTGTTGAAGCTGATGAAATTTGTGGAGATGGATAAATTAACATTGGATTCAGAGAAAAAAAAACAATTCTACATTTATTGCTGACTGGAAACTCTTTATAGATTTTTTTTTTTGCATGAAACAGAAAAAAATGCACTTACGGTTTGTGGGTTTGATGATTAGAAACCCCCCCCCCAGAATGATAGAAAAAAGTGAGCTTTTTTGCAATTATAGAGTAAGAGATAATTGTGTAATTGTATTTATATTTGCTGCAAAGAAAATCAGAAGTTTTTTCTTTCTATTTCTTCTATTCTCTCTTTTTGCACTTTTTCTTTTTTCTTCCTTTGTTTTTTTTACTCTTTATTAGTGCATTTTACTCTTTATTATGTTATTTGTAAAACTTTTAATAAAAAGTATATTTAAAAACAAGGATAAATCATCGAAACCAGAGTCTCTTTGTTTTTGAAAGGTCACAACTGGTGCTGCAGTCAAAACTGCCCCACCTATCCGCCACAGCCATCCCCCCCCCCGCTAGGCATCTAGGAGAATCTCCAAGTTATGGACCATCTTTTTTGGGGAATGCTCCCTGATTCAGAGACACCACTGAATCAGCAACAATGCCATAAGGTTGCTGGACAAAGAGTAAACTTAATCTTGTTTTTTACTATTTTTCTCCAACTTCTTCCAGACAAAAGGGCACCACACCATTGTTGCAGTTCTGGATGGTGATATGTATCACCTGCATATCCATGACACCTCACTGCAAATCAAAGGATGACATCACACAATAGCCTCATGTGCATGGTATACGGGGGAAATAAAAAGAAAAATGCTATGGCATCTACGTTGGAGAGGCCAACAGATAAACCTTCCTTCCTCTCTCCTCACTTTGGAACCACCACTTACCACAATAGCCTCTGATTTCCAGCCCTCTGGCTGCCAACCCTTGTAGGTGTTGGGGAGTATCATCACAGATAAGCAAGGACACATCTCCCCTCCAATACCAATGTAATGTAACCAATGCCATTTCAATCCAATATATAAGCATAAAATGTTCCCTCTACCCTAGCCTCTCCATAAACTTCATCTAAGAGATTCCAACCTGGATAAGAGTAACAGTAATATGGCCAGATCCAGGTAACGTCTTTTCAGGATAGATAGATACTACTATCTTGTTCAAGGTAGGCTTTCACTCCCCTTTTAATGAGGTACTGATACACACACACACACCTCTCACATCCAGTTGATCACTCACCCATTTATTTCCTAAAGAGCCGGCGGACAGGCATGACTCCAGTTTCCCATGTAATAGGACTCATATTTACAAGGAGCCTGTCCTCAAGATTCATGAGATGGTATCACTCAGGTTATACTGCAATACTCTATCTATGTTACCACTATAAATTTGACACATTCAAAGTTAAGATCTGAATAAATTTAACCGATTTTACAAGCAAAATGTTGTCTGAAAATCTTGCAGAACCTTGTTTGCAGATTTTGCTTTAGTGAGATACTGACGTAAGATCTATCATCCTATGATCCTGCTGGCTAGTGACGACAGAAAAAGAGGGAGGAAGGAAGGCCGGTACACTTCTTCACTGTAGGCATATTGTACAGGTACAAAATCAGAATAGGGTTTTATTTAAATTTCATCCATTATAATAATACATTTTTGTTCTTAGTGTGTTGACAAACATTTCAAGAGTAGTTGTAAATGTCTTTTCAAAGGATATTCAGAAAAGATAAGGAAGAAAATGTATTTTTTAATTTTGATGTATTTACTTACTTTAATCAATTTGTATGGCTGCCCATTTTATAATAGTGATTCTGGGAGTTGGCATAATGTTAAGTGCACACACACACACACACAAAACAGTAATATGTATACAGTATAATGGCAACCGAGGACAGCACAAATCGTTAGCGGGTGACTCATTAATCTCACAGAGCCAATTAAACTCCCAATCCCCATGCCCAGGAAAACAGCCATGGTTTTTAAGCTTTCTGAAATTCCAGCAGAGTTGGAACCGACTGAATTTTGAGCAGGATTGTGATGTTCTTGAGGACAGGTGCTCTGACAGAAAAGGCCCACTCCCTAGGTCCTGCTAGATGAAATTTCTTGATAGACAGGACCTGACACATGCCTTCTGTCAGATTTAATGGGATGGGTAGAATCAATTAGAGAGAAGTGGTCCCTCAAATAACCTGGCCCCATGCCACATACAGCTTTAGAGATGACAACCAGCATTTTGAATTGTTCTTGGAAGCATACAGAGAATCAGTGCAATTTGCAGAGCAGAGATAGGCACAGAGATGAGCATACATTGCTGCATTCTGGATGGTCTATGTAAAGCATGCTGCAGAAATCCACTTGAGAGCTGACCAAGTATGAATAATTGTGAGCAGTGCCTTCTGATCCAGAAAAGGACACAACTGGCACACCTGTTGTGTAAAAGCTCTTCAACTAGAATGGCACTTGTTCCTCAAACAAGAGCTGAGAGTCAAGGATATCCTCCAACTGTTCATTTTGTTTTATTTAAACAAATATGTCCACCTGCCTCACACAATGATCTTAGGCAGCTCATAGCAACCAATAAAAACAGCAACATGCTATACTGTACTCTGGTTTCTCCTCAAATCATATACATCTTTTGCCTTAAAAACCATCCAACCCTTCCCACCAAGTTGCCAGAACGACCCATTTTGTTGACTCCCTAACTTTCCCATGCTAGTTGAATGCTTGGGGGAAGAGCCAGGTCTTCTTGGCTTTCTGGAAGACTAAAAGGGTAGAGGCCCTCTCAATCTCAGGTTGGAGGCTATTTCAAAAGCCCATGATGATGAGAGAATATCTGTCTAAAGTTCCACTAGATGACAAAATTTTAGAGAAGGTGTGCGCATCCTTTCTAACCTAGTGAGATGAGCAGATACCCCCAAAGAGAGGCAATCCAGCAGATAACTGGTCATGTGCCATGAATGGCTTTAAAGGTGATAATCAAGACCTTGAATTGGACTTGAAAAGCAATTGGCAGCCAGTATAGTTTGCACAGCAATGATGCAACATAGGCAAATTGCAGAGTGTCCAGAATGTGCCACTACATTCTAGAGAAGTTGAAGTTTCTAGATAGTTGTATTGTAATCATGCTTGCAGGATTCTGTCACAATAGCCTATAATCAATATAGTTTTACTATGGAGTTTTCCTGTTTTCAAAGGTCTGACATCAATCTTGCAAGCTTAAATGCATTTTCCCTTACATCCCAGAGAGTCAGAGATGAATCAATCTGTGTCTTTTCCAAATATATTCCGTTTCCTGGGCTCAATTAATATTTTTGAACATGTTGTAGCAGTCTCCATGTGGTTTCTCCAAAGTCACCTCTCTAGCTGCATATAATATCTGAATAGCACTAATCTGAGATTTTATTTTGCTAACATAACAGAAAGCCACATCATGTCAGGTAGTCATACTTAGCCAGCTATGGCTGCTATCAGAAAACCGCAGGGCCAAACCTGTTCATACTTGGATAGGAGACTACTGAGAAATCATAGGCTAGATGAGGAACTGGAAAACACCCCACAAAAAAGCAATTCAAACCATTTCCCTACTGTTACCATGAAAATAATATGGAATTGACCAGATGCCAAGCTCAACCTTAGGAAGACTTTATCCTGATAAAAGCCCCAGTTCTACCAAAAGGCTAACATAATTAAAGAAATCTTATACTTCTTGGTTTTATTTCATCCCAATGTGTTGCAGTTGGTTGCAGTCTGGAGATGCTGGATGTGTGAAAGTGATCCATTATTTGGGAAATTAAGCAGACAGTAATGGTTCCCTCTAAAAAGGTGCAGGGGTCCCTTGAATGTGTTCTAATACAAATATATTTCTAAATGAGTTGCTATTTATTTATACAAGTTTATTTAATTATTTGATATTTGTATCCCGTCTTTATTATTTTATAAGTAATACAAGGCGACAAATATACATAACACGGCTTCCTTTTCTTTTCCTCACAAACTGTGAGGTGGGTTGGGCTGAGAGAGAGCGCGCGACTGGCTCCAAATCTCCCAGTCGGCTTTCATGCTTAAGGTGGGACTAGAAATCAAGCCTCCTGGTTTCTCAGCTCAACCACGCCAAACACAAATAACGCCGCTTATTTCAACGATTTCGAAAAAGCTCGCCATTCCTTGAGTCATTGATGTCACTGGGATCTGACGTCACTGGCGTTTCCGTGGTAACGAACAATGAAGTCACAGAAGGATGGGCGGGGGAAGAGCGAGCTCGCGCGCTCGGAGGTGCCGAGACTTCGCAAGTTCTGGGTCGCAGTTTCTATGGAAACCTACGCCTGTGCTAAAAAGGGACTAGCCGGCGGGAGGCCTTGCACTCTGTGAATGGGGGGCGCGGGGGGGGAGAGCCCCGAGCGTTGGGGACTTGGAGGCTGCACTTGCTTCGCTGGCGAGCTCCTCAGCTGCCCGATGCCGGCACAGCCGTCTTCCCTCTGAACTGCAGCCCTCTTAAGTTGCTCTGGCGCAGCGGCTCCGCTTTTCTTCCTCCGATTCTCCGCTCTCTCAAGGGGGCGAAAACTGAATGGGGACCCGACCGTTCGACCTCTAACGATCGGGAGAGGGCCTCTCACTGAATACCAGGAACCGGCCATGTCAGTATCCCGCAACCCCACGAGGTTCCCCCAGAGGACCTTCGGCCGGAGGTTTTGCCTGCCTTTCTCCCTCCGCTGCCCGTCTCTCCGCGCGTCAACTTCGACACTCCTTCACACAAGCAGCCCTGCCCGCTCCCCTCCCGCCACCTCCTCCTCCTCCTCCTCCTCCCCCCTTCCCCGCAAGGACTGCGGCTGAGCGCGCTTCTCCGCCGCGGTGACGCGAGAGGCAAAGGATCGGTTCGGTCTGTCGAGCCATCCCAGTCAGTCCGACCCCTTTCCCCGGCCGAGCCCGCCGCGCTGCTTCCCAGACCATGCTCCTGCCAGCGCAGCAGCCGAGCCCTGCCAGCGGCCGGGCAGAGCCGGGCAGAGAAAGGGCGGGTTCGGGGAGGACTCAGTGAGGCCGGCGGTCTTTTTCCCTTCTCAACTCTCCCCCTCCCTCCCTCCCCGCCCCCCGACGTCTTCCCCCGACGTAGCATACCGCTGCTTCCATCGCCGGCATCCCTACATCGAGCTACAGGTCTGGGCCCGGGAGATGGCGCGTGTGCGTGTGCAGGGAGGATTCGTGTGCACGCGTAGCCGTGGGGCTGGGAGGCTGGGGAAAGGCACGCGTTGCACTGGGTGGAAGGGGCGGGCGGGACGGGACGGGACAGGAGCCGGGTATCAGCAGGAGAGGTTTTTGGGCACGGTTGGGCTGTAAAGGAAGGAGTGCAGAATAGCGCTGCATGGGATTTGGGGGTGGGAAGAGAGGTGAAGGGATGTCTCTCCGAGACGGCGGGACTGCCTCTTGGGCCCCGGAAAGAAACCAAGCGCCCAGCACGTTTTCCCTCCTCACCGACTTCTCTGTTAGGTCTCTTGTGGGTTGAAGCGGGGACCCCGTCCCGGCCCTCCCTCCTTCATCATGGGTCGCCATTCTCTAAAAGCAACAGGGAGTCTTTCCCCTGAGCAAAGGCTCCGATAGCGATGACAGCACCTCGTGTCCCTTCTGCTCCAATTATTCCAATGCTTTTCTGGCTTTCTGGCACTTTGCTATGGGTTGAATTCAGCTAGCGTGAACGGTAGTTTGAACAGTAATTTACTGCTGTAATGAATGTCTTTGGTCAACATGAAGGTGTATTTGAACCTCCCATCGGTTCAGCCGTCAGGTTGCCATGTTTTATTTATACAGGGCTTCTATGCCCATTAATGGCTGCAGGGCAAGCATACCTTTAGTCACTTGAGTAGCGTCCCCAAACATGGAAGTGTAAACTGCACCTGCTGACTTAATTTTGTTCTTGTGAGAAAGATAAGCGGTAATTTCTTCTAATGGGGCAGACCTATTGAAACCTGAGCTTTGTGGATGAATTAGGCAAAGTTAAGTTTGTGTTATTTTTCAAGGCGAGCATGTTTTTGGAGAGGGAGGTGCTTCCGTTATTATTTTTAAAAAGTTAAGTATAGACTATGAGAATAAATACACCAACAAATAAACAAAAATACGTAGCCTAAGGCTTCGACAAAATTGCTGAAGAGCATATAAACAATCAATTTTGTGTGTGTGTGTGTTTACTCAGAAATGTGCCCATTTCTTTCTCTTCTAAGTATGCTTAGCTTTGTATTCAAGTGCTATATTTATATCCTGAATAAGTTTTAGGATTGAAGCTTACACGTATTTCTCTTTAAGGAGCTTTGCTTAATAGGTTATGGCAATTAGCAAGCTTCCCATCAACTATATGCTTGTAAGAATTTGGGTATCTGATTTGAAAACAATGACTTACTAGACTAGATAACAATGCATGTTAAATGTATAGCAGCCTGAGTGAATTGTGGCCAAAACTATTTTAAACGCTATTTCTGTTGAACATGACTTTATAAGGAGTTAGATTCTGAATTGTTTTTCTAATATGTTTGTAGGAGATACTGAATTTCACCTCCTTATGCTGAAGTTCACCTTATCTTGCAAATGTATTGTAGACAATAATTATTGCACACACACACACACACACACACATATGCACACATATATACATATATATACATATACATATACATACATACTTACATACATACATACATACATACATACATACATACATACATACATACATATATATATATATATATATATATATATATATATACCTGTGATGGAAAACAGCATATTAATCTATGTTGTTTATTTCTGTAAAGTCTCAACAGGTTTTGGCTTTCTATTTTCATATTCATAATTTTGAAAGGTTTCATATGTTTTTATTTGGGAAGAGGTTTTCTCATAAACACTGATACTGGTATATAGAGCATAGGGTAAACTGTCTTTTCCCACTTAGTGAGTAGAACATACAACTTAACTGTTTACATGAGAATAATAAGGCTGTTTGGCTTTCAGGGATATGGCAAGATATAATAATTTATGTGAAGTTATGTGATTGCTTGATTATGCTACAGAAACAGCAGGTTGCAAGGGCCAAGAGCCAGAGCAATTTGATAGGTAAAGGATATTCATGAAAACAGCTCTCTAGGAGGGATGCAGCCCTTTTTTCTTGAATGTACTCCTGTGCTTTGAATAGATGCATGATGGGCAGAGATTTAGTAGCTTCTCCCTGCACAACACTGCTGAGCAAAGCTATGCATGATTTAAATTCTGTATGGCATGCTGGTATAAGAGGAGAGACTCCCCTTAAGTCCCCAGAAACCTTGATTACAAAGTGTTGCATAAACAGAATCATGGAAGTACAGAATTACAAGGAGTATCAGCATTGACACCATAACCCTGTGCATATTTATCTAGGTAGAAGCCTTGGTTGGAATAAATTTGGCTAAGACTAAAGCCTTGATTTAGCAAATTACGTCCATAGCTTTCGTACTCCATGCTCTAGCTGGGTTGACACAAGTCTGTAAATCATAAAACAAATTCATACATCTTATTTAACCAAGGTTCACTTAACCATTGTTTGTTGCACAAGCCATTATTAGCTGGCTTCACAGAACACAGTAAGCTCTATAACTGCTTTTGAAACTATGTTAAGCCAAAACCAAACAATTTACATACTTCAGCATTTCTCAAAGTGAACTCTTAAAGGAGGTTGTGAGATACGAGGAGGATCTCCACAGAGTGCTTTTTTTGTGCTTTTTGCACAAAAGTTACAGCTTGATGCAAAATTATTCTGAATGCAAAGTAGCCCTGCAGTTCCAGAGCCCTGTATGAAGTCTGAATGTTTGTTTGCTTTTAACATATTGCATTTGCCTTTCAAAGGAGGAGTTAATGCATGGAATATTGTACAAAATTGACCATCTGATCAGATACTCACTCTGCATAGGAAATTATCACTTCTGAGGGGAAGGGCTGTAAGACTGCAGCTAGAAGGAAATTGCAACAGTAGGGGAAGTATTTACAAGCACCAGACTTGGGGGGAAAATGTGTGAGACAGTTATCTCAGAGTGTATTAATACAGAGAGCACCAAAAGCAGATTATAGGCTGTCCATGTTCTGCAAGCTATAGCATTTTAAGAACAGTTTAAGAAAAGTTGATTTTGGGCAAGGCAGTATTTTTTTTTTCCTCCCTGACTTGGTAAATGAGAGAGTGGTTTTCAAATTGGAATTCCAATTTCAAATGTTAGGCCAAAAAAGGCAATTCATTCTTCATGTTAAAAAATGGTTTTAAATTGTGTGAGGGGAAGGGCTGTAAGACTGCAGCTAGAAGGAAATTGCAACAGTAGGGGAAGTATTTACAAGCACCAGACTTGGGGGGAAAATGTGTGAGACAGTTATCTCAGAGTGTATTAATACAGAGAGCACCAAAAGCAGATTATAGGCTGTCCATGTTCTGCAAGCTATAGCATTTTAAGAACAGTTTAAGAAAAGTTGATTTTGGGCAAGGCAGTATTTTTTTTTTCCTCCCTGACTTGGTAAATGAGAGAGTGGTTTTCAAATTGGAATTCCAATTTCAAATGTTAGGCCAAAAAAGGCAATTCATTCTTCATGTTAAAAAATGGTTTTAAATTGTGTTTTTGGTTTTTTCCCCCAAAGTAATATGTTGTTTTAAAAAGTTCTGCCACTGTTTTATTTGATATATACAATAGGTTAAAATATAATTATTATGAGTAAATTTAGGTTGTTTCTTGCCCCACCCCAGTCCCAGTGAAAATATTTATTTACACGTGGGAGATGGCACAATTTCTTTTTCTCAGATCATAATATGGCAAAGTTTGGGAACCACTGACGTGGTCCAGGAAGATGTAAAAGACCTGAGAGTGTTAGATGCTATTATTTTACTTCCTTCCACATTTCCCTTTTGCTATGTCGAAACTCCCTAGCCTCCCATTTGCTTAAGAGTTGCTATGGAAACTTACCCAGTGGATTGGATTTTGAAATAAGGTCAGATAGGGATTTCTTTCCAGCTTCTCATCTGAGGAAGTAAGAATGTGGTTTAAGCTACTACTTTTGACCAGCAACTCTTTTCCATACTTACATAATACTTCATTTTCACATATGATAGTTTTCTGATGACTGACTGATAAAAAAAACCCAATTTCATGATATAGGTGAGCATTTGGGAGATATCTTTTACTTAGTTAAGCTGTGTTGTTCAAAACAATTTTCTTAGGCTGTTTTAATATTGTATGGGATCCCATTTTCATATTATATTTTTAAGTGTCCCACAGCCACAAATAGGCTGTCTTGGGTGCACATTTTTATCTGCCCTCTACTCTGTCTCAACTCACAGGATCTGACAGTCAAAATGCTGATCAAAGAATACCATATACTGCTGCCCATGAGCCTGACCGAATACCAGGTGGCCCAACTTTACATGATCCAGGTAACATCAGTTAGGATAGATAGAGCAGACTGATGGGTATTTATTTAACCAGATAGAGTTTTGGGGTTAACAGGGCCAAAACCAAGCAGGTTGAGGGATGCAAAGAGCAAAAGGTATAGATTGCAAGCTGAAGATCTGTCTCTCCCCCCCCCCCTTAGAAGAAAAGCCGTGAGGAATCCAGTGGTGAAGGCAGTGGGGTTGAAATCCTGTCCAACCGACCGTATGATGATGGTCCAGGAGGAAGTGGTCAATATACACATAAGATCTACCATGTGGGCTCTCATATTCCTAGCTGGTTTCGTGCCCTCCTACCTAAGGCTGCTCTTCAGGTGGAGGAAGAATCTTGGAATGCCTACCCTTACACACGGACTAGGTGAGAGGAAGGCAGTAGGGGGCTGGAAGATGTGGTTGTGGAGCTTGCCAAAGTGGTAAAGGTAGAACTATGAGTTTCATCCTTTCTTTTATAGATACACATGCCCCTTTGTGGAGAAATTTTCAATTGAGATTGAGACTTACTACCGACCAGATGCTGGAAAGCAAACCAATATCTTCAATTTAAACGTTACAGAGCGCAGGCAAAGGATTGTGGGTGAGTTTTCTGTCACTTTTAAGTTATCAGAATGTAGTATTGTGTGAATGCTTCTATGCTGACAGCTGATTGTGCCTGAGTGGCTGAACGATGATGGTTATCTGATGATATTTAGGGTCAATAAGTGACTGAGATATAAGTCAATGTGGGCATCTGTTTCACTCATGGCATATAAAGTGCTGTGTTGTAAGACAGACTTCACCAGCCTTGTAAAGACTTTACTCCATGTAGATCAGACATGTCAAACTCGCGACGTCATGTGACATTGCGCAACGTATCGGGACTGTTTTGCCATTACCGGCAATGGGGTGGGCGCAGCTTCCGCATGATGCGTCCGGCCTACAGGCCGGCAGTTTGACACCCCTGATGTAGACATTATGAACTTTCACATGTTGAATTTCCAATCATCATTCCATTGTTGAAATCCAATGCAGCTAGAGGACAATAGATTGGAGAATGCTGCTGTTATACACTAGGAGTGGAAGAACAGCTAGCAGGCTTCTGGCAAAATAGATGTTCACTATACAAGAGAGTAGTCAGGAATGTAGCTGAGCATCTGAACCAATTTTGAGATGAGAAGGAGTAGCAGCTTGAGAAATCCAAGTAAGATTATTTTAATTTCCTACAATTAATCTTTTTCCCCCAAACCTCCTTTACTTACCCACAGATACTATTGATATTGTACGGGATCCCATCTCACCCAGTGAGTACAAGATAGAGGAAGATCCACGACTGTACCATTCGTTGAAAACGGGACGTGGACCTCTAGGAGATAATTGGCTGGATAGTGGAAATTCTGGGCCTTTTATGTGTGCTTACAAGCTTTGTAAGGTGGAGTTTCGCTATTGGGGCATGCAGTCTAAGATTGAACAATTCATCCATGATGTAGGTAAGCATGATATCTTCATTGGCATTCTTTTTCATCCAGCAAACAAAGATCTGTGGCAGTAGTGGATACTTTGGTTCTTCCTGATGTTGAACTGTAGCTCTCTGAAGCTCCATCCAACATTGCAATGGTAATAGTTTAGCAACATCTGGAGAGCTACAGGTCCCATAATGGTGGCATGCTGAAGCTAGCAAATATAGGCCGCACTGTATGCTTAGGCAGTAGAATAGGATGATTGATCCTATACTTGTGTAGGCAGAGGCATGGTGTCCATTTCCTCTCTAGTAGCAGTACTTGTGCAGTACATTTTCTACTGAGCTGCCCTTCTCATATTAATTTCATTAAAGCTACTCTAATGTGAAATCTGATTTAATACTGGCCCAAAGGTACATTAGCAGTTTTAAGCCTCCCTTGTGGTCCCTATATTAAAAAGACAATTTATGTTGCACAATGTTCAGAATCATTCTTTCTGGGCTGCAAATAATTGATTGGGTCCTCTGCCATTTTGAAAACCAATACTGTTCATATTCCCTTGCTAATTATGAGGAATTTGTTCAGGATCTACAATATTCTAGTATATGGCAACTCTAAATGTATTTTCCGTTGTCTCTGAAATTGGTAAGGAATCGGACTTTTTCCCTCTGTGTTGCTGATTAACAACTGCTCTAGTCCAGTTCTACCCTTTGGGGTAAAAATGCACCCAAGAGCTTTTGATGTATTGGTTAGTTGCTTGTGAGATACTTTACTTACTGTGACCTCAGAAGTATTAGGGGTAGTAACCATGTAAGAGAAAGGTTTCAGGCAGTAGAAGAAACTCAGAGAGGCTGAATCCAGAGAAAGAGAGAAGCAACTGTGTTGACAGCACTGTTGAAGGAGCAGCCAGATTTCAAAAGACTTTAAAAATATAGATAATATAAAATAATGGTTTCCTATTAAGCATAATATTAGATTGGGGGAATTTGTTTAGAATCAGCTGCATAAAATAGGAGATGCTAAAGGCTTAATGACATTATCCATGTAAATCAGCTTCTGACATGAACAGAAATGTCATTCAATTTTGTGCAGCACTTCCCAGACAGGAAAATTGAGCTACGTTGTGCTATCTGCTCATTTAAACTGTGTCCCTGGATATAGTAGCTGACGTGAGGTATTATTAGGATGAGAAGATCCCAATATAACTTGGATACAATAAGTTTTGCTTGGATGTGAGCATGAGTTCTGAATTTCTGAAAGAGTTCAGATTGAAAAAAATGTGAGATGTCTTCTTCAGTTTAAACTTATGTGTCAGAAATGGTCATATCATGTTAAGGATAAAGTTTTGTGATATGAAGTTAGACAAACAGGCTAAGCCACAACTGTCAATGGCATGCCGGATGCAGTGAAATGGTAGTAATGGGATGGTACAGTATCTTTTGATTTCAGTATGTCTGTAGAAGTTTAGCGTCCTTACTCCACTTTTTCCACAAAATCAGTATGTGAATAATGTAGATTGGTTTAGAGACACTGGTTTCAATTTAATCCAAGGGATTATCTCCATGCCTGACTACTAGTTTGTCCTCTGATTTTAGCAGAGGAATTACATCTAGCAGGGCCCCCCTTCCCAATAAGATTAGCTCCACCTCTCCACTCCATAAGCCCCTCAAGATGTGGCTATGTCATCAGTCCTGGGGGAACCAGGGAGATTTTGCAGTGGCTTCCTTGATATGGTTTAATATCATCCTCTCTGTTTGTTTGCCTTTTTATAGCTATTTTTTAAGTGCGTTTTTATGTACTTACTATTTTGTTAAGTGCTATATGCCTCCCAGAGTCACTTTCATGTGTGATAAGGGGCTACGTAAGTATAGTAAATAAATAAATAAAAATGCTCATGTATTGGTTAGGGTAAATAAAATGCCAAAAAGGATCTTGCATCATTATAGGCAAAAATAAAAAGAATTGCAATCCTGTTAGCTCCTCTTATTCTCTAAACTGAATTTCTCTTTTTAAATCTGAACTGGATTGTAATCCTTTAAATTACTGAAAAGCAGTGGAAGAAGCATTCACGAAGTAAATAGCATTTAATCTCTTTTTAATGTATTGAGGAGCTCAAGTTATACCTAACCAAAGTGCAGTGTGTCTGGGAAGAGCTATACCATCGTGATTCCTGAATGGCGTCCTATTGTAGGTCTACGGAAAGTGATGCTGCGAGCTCATCGCCAGGCCTGGTGTTGGCAGGACGAATGGATAGACCTCACAATGGATGACATTCGAAGGTTGGAGGAGGAAACAGCTCGTATGCTGGCTCAGAAGATGGCTACATGCGTAGAACCTGAATTAGGTCCTGATGTGCCCAGCCCTGAATGCCCAGCTGAGTTAAGTGGCCATGAGACACAAGACAGAGTTGATAGCCTGAGGGCTCCCGATTCCTCTCCAGATGATCCATTTGCAAAGCAATGGTCAACTTCTTCTCGGTCCTCCTACTCTTCTCAACATGCTGGTGAGTGATCACTGCAACAAATAGAAAGGAACTTGTGGAAGAATGCAACACTGATGAAAACAAACTCTCACTGCAGAGGAGCGAAAGTTGTGAGAAAGAATGAAATTCATTCCCATTTCATTCTAGATCAGGAGTCCCCAACCTTGGCCACTTTATGACTTGTGGACTTCAACTCCCAATATGGCTGGCTGAGGAATTCTGGGAGTTGAAGTCCATGGCTGGCTGAGGAATTCTGGGAGTTGAAGTCCACAAGTCATAAAGTGGCCAAGGTTGGGTATCTCTGTTCTAGATTATAGTCAGGGACTAACTACTCTTCTGTTTGGAGATAAGATTGGTGTAGTTTTTTTACAAAAGATTTTTGTCTTACTAGCTCTTGACTCATTTGAAATACTTTACCCTTTTTTTTGCATTGTGGAAATGTATGGCATTATTATGAATATTTATATACATTTTAAAAAAAAGATCAGATAGGGTATATATTACAGTGTCCACAATAGCAATCCTTGTTTTTGTTTTCCTTCGTAATTCTCGTATTTGGAACTTAAAGAAGGAAAAGAACCCATGAAAAGGTGGAAACAGATATTGATATACAGGGAAGGTAGCTCTTTGCAGAATATTTGTTGTGAAATCGATTCTATTAGGAATTGTAATCTGGCCTGTTCCCTTTTCCTATTCTGGTCTTGCGTGTAAAATTTAAGGACTTCCTGCAATTTTCTGCAATCAGAAATTCAGAAAATTGAGACAGTAAAGCAAACTTCATTGTGAGATACTATTGATCCCAATGATCGTAGCTACTGTGATGAAGAAGTGTTCCTGTTGATGCTTAAGAATGACCATCTTTACCCAGCTCTCTTGGTCATCAGGATTTCCCTTGATATGTGTCTCTGCAGTTGCAGTGTCTCCCCACAGCTTATCAGAATGGCGGATGCAAAATATTGCCCGGGACTCTGAGAACAGTTCTGAAGAGGAATTCTTCGATGCTCACGGTTTGTAATAGTGAACAGAGTACAGGTAGTCCTCAATGTACGACCACAATTGAGCCCAAAATTTACATTCCTAAGTGAAACCTTTGTTAAGTGAGTTTTGCCCCGTTTGACAACTTTTCTTGCCACTGTTGTTAAGCGAATCATTGCAATTGTTAAGTTACTAACATGGTTGTTAATTGAATCTGGCTTCCTCATTGACTTTGCTTGTCAGAAGGTCTCAAAGGGTGATCACATGACCCCGGGACTCTGCAACTGTCATACATATGAATCAGTTGCCAAGTATTTGAATTTTAATCATGTGACCATGGGGATGCTGCAACGGTTGTAAGTGTGAAAAACAGTCATAAGTCGCTTGGGATGGCCGCTGCCAGATGAGAAAGGTGGCTGGGGAGGGGCCGCATGGGTGCCAAGAAGTTTGGGGAGGGTGCGTGAATGGCCAGGGAGCTGCAGCAGAAGCTCAGGGAAGGTATGTGAGTAGCTGACACAAGCACAAAGAGGCTGAGGCAGGGCGCACAGGTGAAGAGGCTTACCCAAGCAACTTGCAGCTCTCCTTGCCATCTTCTCCATTGACTTTGTTTGTGGGTATCCAGCAGGGAAGGTTGCAAATTGTAATCATGTGATTATGGGACAACTGTCATACGTGTGAGCCAGTTTCCAAGTACCTGTCTCGCAATCACATGACTGGAGTTGCTTAGATGGCCAGAACTTTGAGAACTGGTTGTGACCACCACTCATTCAGTGCCGTTGTAACTTCCATGGTTAAACAAGTAGTTCTTTACCGAGGCCCTCAAAAAATCGTAAGCAAATCAAAAAATCCAGTAGCCCAAGAATTAAAAATGGGTCATCTACAACAGTGTTTCCCAAACTTGACAATTTTAAGGCATGTGGACTTCAACTCCCAGAATTCCACAGCCAGCAACGCTGGCTGTGGAATTCTGGGAGTTGAAGTCCTCATGCCTTAAAATTGTCAAGTTTGGGAAACACTGATCTACAAGATTCAGTGCAAGGACTATAATTGCCACTATGTAGGGCAGATTAACATCAGACAAACAATCGGGTAGAAAACTACACTAATCAAGGAACTACCAAGGAGAATAGCATACCCCACCCACCAAAACTAGGATGGCCGACTACTGTATGCACAGGGAGCAAATCCTACATGTACTCTCATTGATGATGTTACCTAGTTGGGTAATGGAATGTCTGCAAGCAAACAACAAAGCTCAGAGAGCACCAAGGACTCCGCAGATGATGGACTGCAAAGCTAGAGAAGGATTCTGCATAAGAATCTGGAGGACTGTTAGAGACAGTCATCTAATGTGCCTACCTTCCTTTTAAAATTATCCCTTCTTTCTCAACTCCTGATTTTTAACCATGGTGGGCATTTCAGTCTATTTGCAATGACTAGACTGCCTGTATCTTATCCATGCCTTTTTCATTTTAGAGGATTTGTCTGACAGTGACGATGTGTTTGCAAAGGAAATCACTAAGTGGAATTCAAATGATTTCCTTGATACTCTGGAGCGACCCAATGAACGGGATGATGTTCTAGGTAAGAGACATTCCTTTCTGTGTTCCTTATACAATGGCAGGAGAATTGCGGATATTTTGGTCCAGCTATCTCAATTGCTAAAAAAAAATCATGGGTTTTGTTTCAAAATTTGCAAAACCGTAATTGTTTTTTTTTTTTTTAATGTTCATGTAGTTTTATTGTATATTTGAAATGTTTTAGAGCTATGGCAAAATTTTAAAAAGGTCTTTCATTAATAAAAATGAAGGGAAGGAAAAGGAAAATAGGATTTCCCCTGAAAGCTGCTTCCCTCTCTATGGATCAAGGAAATCACCCTTTCATTTTTTTTTATTTGCTTTTAAAAAAAACAACAACAGTCAAGTATTTTGAAGCTTTTCTTAAACGTAAAACTTTTCTATTCAAGTCAGAAGAAGCCAAAATCACTGCTGCTAGTTTCTGCATTAGAAGTTAGACATTTTTCGGCAGTATTATTTTCCCGTGCTCACCCTCAAATTTCTTTGCTGATTGTTGTAAGTGTACCTTCGAAGTGTACCTGGGAGGACCGCTCTTCTGCATGCATTCCTAGCCTACACACACTGCCCTTTCTGACCTCTGGAGTCTGTCATTGGCCCTTTGCCTTTTGTCACTTTGCCACTCAGTGCAGTATAAATTTCCTTTGCAGTTGATGCGACTGGAGTAACCAAGTCAGATAGTGACGGTGTCCCTGCGCCTGGCCCACCAGAGGTGAGGAAACCCGTGCCCGCAACACAGCATTCCTATTTCACTACCTTCAACTACTGTGGCCCCAAACTGTTGGAGAGGGCTTGTGATGACTGTTGTTGTCATAGCTAATTTTTCATAACCTTGGCTGCAGTATATGGCCACATTTAACTCCCCTCCCCCCATCCCACTTGGATGATATGCGTCACCCCCCTCAACAGATCACGTCCTCACAGTTCCTTATGTATCTTTCCGCAGGTTGGCTTGGAAGGGCTCTCTGGGCCGTGCCGCATTCACGCCCTTTTCCTGATCCTCCACAGTGGCAACATTCTAGACCAGGGTGTAGGAGAACCAGGCTCCAAACAGGCTGATGTGCATACGTTCACTGCTACCTTGGACTCCGTCACCCGACTGCACTTTCCTGAAGCCCTGGGGCACATAGCGTTACGCCTAGTGCCCTGTCCACCAATCTGCGCTGCTGCCTATGCCCTGGTCTCCAAGTAGGAAGCATGTTTTTTCAAGCGGCTGAAGACTTGATGCGAGTAGTGCTATTGGGCTGTCTGTCTGAAAAAACAAGAATTGCAGACAACTAGAGTGTGAAGGAGCTTAGTGAGGGCAGTGGTACCTGCTCCATCAATAGTAGTAGTAGTTGTTTTTGTTGTTGTTGTTGTTGTTCTGGGCTCTAGAAGAAAATACAATACACCATACACGCTGTACACTTGTTCTTTGCCCTAGCTTGTTTATAGTGGAGTCAAGTAAAGCACTTGAAGTATGTGATGTGCCACTCAGAGTGAGTACCCAAGAGAGTGAACTTTGGGCAAACACTGGAGATTGCTGGACAGGACTTTTCAGTGTTAGTCTCTCTTTCTTCAGCTGCTCATAGCGCTGAATATTGGGCTACACTCTTACTACAGGCCTTAATTTCAAATGATTGCTGGCCCATGGCCATTTCTTAAACTCTATGTAGAGAATGCCTGCGTTTGTCATTGGCATGGTAGATGATTGGTCTTTTAGTCCCCAGACATGTATATAAAAATACGTGATTGGGTAATTATACATGGGAGGTAATTTCCTAGCTCTCTACAAAGACATAAGTTGCCTCTGTTTTAGATTGGTTCTTGATGTTCTTTTCAACTTGACGTTCCTTTCAACTCCTTTCCTAGACTCAGTCCCTACAGCCACGATGGCGACAGTCTGTCCAGTAGCCAAGATCACATCCCACTGGCCGCTTTGCCTCTGCTTGCAACCTCTTCGGGCAATTATCAGAGTGCCGTGGCAACCGTCATTTCCCGCACCAACCAGGCCTATGCCAATTTCATCCATTCCCCTGACGGCACAGGCTTCTGTGGCCAGGTTAGATTTCCTGCAGTTTTCAGAGCTGGTATAGAAAGTTGGATGCAGAAAGCTAGAACACGGGGGGGAGGGGGGGATCTTTATTTCCTGTGGGTCCACATGTCTCCAGTGGAACAGATATTTAGATTTGCATCCTGTTCTGTTTTTTCCTTTTAAAATAGAGCTGCGATGTTTATTGGAAAAAGTATTTCAGAAAACATTGGGACAATATATAGAAACAGAGACACGGTGACAATAGAAATCAAGCTTTTGGATATGGAAACTGCTACTTTACAAAGATCCTTTTTTTTTACAACATTAATATTTGCAAGATGTCTGAGACCACCGTAACAATCATAGCAATTGAGGTCTTCAGATCCCTTATGATTTCAAGGTTATGTATTTCCCCACAACCTTAACGACTAGAAGCCTCTTCTCATCTGACCACGCAACGGTTGTGCACTGTGCAGAATTAGAAAAGTTATTTTCTAATTTTAGAAATTAGAAAATTTCTAATGTAGTAATTAGTAATTGTCTGATTTCATGGCTGGCTAGAGCAGTGGTTCTCAACCTTTTTAATGCCATGACCCCCAACCAGTCGTAAGTCGAGGACTACTCAACTGGTCCAGCACCGTTTGCAGAATGGGACTTTTGGCGGGCTCAGCAGGGCAGAGACAGCCTGGACAATTCCTATTGGCTTTTGAAAGCCAATAGAATTAGACTCTATTCAAGAGAGTCTATTCTATTGGCTTTCAAAAGCCAATAGAATAAAAGGGAGTAGCACAGCTAAGGAAAAGGGGAAAAAAATGGCGAACTGCGTTGTTTGGCGACCCCCGTGAAATGGTCGTTCGACCCCAAATAGGGTCCCGACCCACAGGTTGAGAACCACTGGGCTAGAGACTTCTTGGAGTTGGAGTTCACAGACCTTAAAGTTGCCAAGTTTGGGAAATGCTCCTCTAGTATGCATTATATTTTCCTGGTAGTTTTTTTGGGACATGGTGTAGAGCAAAGGGTTCTTGAATATAAATTCTTGTAGACTTCCTCAGCTACTCCAATCACAACCCATTGTAGAGAAGAGGCGGAATATGTCTTTTGGGTCCGTTCTTGAAAATTTGGCAAGAAAACATGCTGATGCCTTGAGCTTCTTCTATTAGCAGTTCATTTTTGTCTCCCCCAACAGGTGCTGCTGATTGGAGACTGTGTCGGGGGTATCCTGGCCTTTGATGCCCTTTGCCATAGTCGTGCTGGTGGGTCAGGCAGTCACGGGAGCAGCCGTCGTGGCAGCATGGTCAGTTCCCAAGCCCTGGGATCCCTCTCCTTGCCTCCTCCTCAGTTCTAAAATGGGCAAATGGAGAAACTAGTTGCCTGCTGATGAGATGAACTGAAAATGGATGAAGAGGAGAAATATTTTCTTCTGACTTCATTCTAGAGATGAACTGCCCAAGTATGTCTGCTCTGGAATATAATGTAGTATAGCAGACCAGTCAAGTATCCTGTTTCTTTCTGGTTGAGACCAACTACTGGGGTGTGTAATATTTTTTTGTAGCCAGGAGGCACAACTGTTTCAAATCCCGAGGCCTGATTAAGAGAGTGATACTTCATAGGAGGGGCAACAGTTTGTCATGGGTACTGTTTGGTTTGCTAAAAGAGGCATCTTGTGGCTGTTGGAGTTTTATGCTGCTTGTTTTAGTGGCTATTTCACCACCAATCATGGAAGACCATTCAGCAGCTTGCTATTAATTTCGGAATAATAAATCCAGAACTTTCCTGTGGTCATGATCTGCCCTTTGCCTAAGGAAAAAGCACTCTAATTTCCTGAGCAGAAGAGAAACTTCTCAGCATTCCCCGTTTCCTTCCAGAATGCTGAACTCCTGTCTCCAGAGACTTCGGTGGTGCGAGATCCACTGCTCAAGAAGCCAGAAACATTGGGAGGGATTGGCCGTGCCAGTCCTGAGCCAGGAGTACTTCCTCCTACTCCGAAATATTGCGACAGTGTAGCTCCAGAGAGTGACACTTTACAACAGCAGCATCAAATCTTGTCCAGGTGAGAGCTTAAGGAACCCAAGGCTATAAAGCCAAGATGACTATTAGCCATCAGTTTCCAGTAATCTGATCTGCTTCTTTGCCAATTGGGAACAGGAAGTCAATCTAAAGAATTTCTCTAACGCTAAAGGGCATACCCTAAGGCATGGCGATCCTTTTAGAGACTGAGTGCCCAAACTGCAACCCAAAACCCACTTATGCATCGTCGAGTGCCAGGTGGGTGTGGCCCATTGGGTGGGTGTGGCCCATTGAGTGGGCATGGCTGCGGTGGTAACGGCAGACTGGGTGGGACTAAAAAGTTCAATCAAATCAATTCCAACTTTGCAAGATCTTTTTTTTCCCCGCAAGAAGTTGAAATTGACTGATTTAACCTTTTTTTTTTTTTTTGCACACAGCGGTGGAGTCCTAAAGCGAAAAGATTTTATAAAACCCAGCTGAAGGCCTAGGACTGGGGTGACGGCGCGCGTGCCCACAGAGAGGGCTCTGCCGCATCTGGCAGCCGTGCCATAGGTTCGCCACCACTGCCCTAAGGAGTCCATTAAACTTTTCACTCGTAGAGGAAAAGTAATAAAAACACAGGTGCACAATATAGAGTCTTCAAGAAGTTGCCGAATCTCAACTCCCAGAAGCTAAGACATTAGAATTGTTAATAGTGAGTGACAATGTTGTATTCTGTAATGCTGACAAAAGGTGAAAAATCAGAGAAGAAGAGGGTGACCAGGAGCAAGATGGATGGGCTCAAGTACAGTAACAATGGCTGCACCTTTGGAAGACCTGAAGGATCAGGTTAGGGGAGGATCCCCCTTGAGAAAAATACGTTTATTTGGCCACTAAGAGTTGATATCTGACTTGGTAGTGTATAATAACAAATACTGAGAGTGGTAGTTCAGCAGCATTTGAAGACTCATATGTTGTGCTTCGTGGGAATCATCCCAAATGGTCTCCCTTTCCAGGAAAGGTAGAATTTTAAAAGAGAGCTACGGCTATTCCTTGGTTGTGTAAGAGATTGCTGTGATCATAAGGCTGTAAAGTTTATTGGAGTTGTGCAATACACAGATCTAAACTAGGCAAAGTTGCTTTGTATCTAGCACAGAGATTTTTGCTATGCTGGGTGGCTATTCCTTAAAATCATGCATTTCTTAGGGCTTGCAAGAGACCACACCACTCATTCACACAACGCTACAGTAAGTGTGACCCTCCTGGATTCCCAGTATTCTTTCCCACTTCAGATCCAAATGCTGTATGTCTGACATTAACAGCATAAAGGATGCTGGGAATTGTAGTTCAGCAATTCTGAATCAACTCAGCCGGAGAAGAAGCTTCTTCAGAATGAAGGATTTCTGTCATTAATTTTAATTCCCACCCAATAAGTGTTGTACACTTATTAAATTTCTTCTCTTTCCTTTTTATAATTGTTACTGATTTTCTGTTTATCATCATGCGTCCTTAGTTTCTTTAGAAATTAGAGTAGCTGGACAAATGTAATTTGTGGACTATTTGGACTTGGTTGAGGGCTATTTGTATTTTCCGGCAGGGACATGATTTTTTTTTTTTCCCCTCTTGCCTTTAGCCTGCAATCTAGCCTGCCTGCCTCAGAAACAGAAGGAGACCCTCGACGTAGCAGTAACTCTTCATCTTCGTTGGTGGAGACTTTTGAAAGCCCTAGCATGGTTGGGAAGCTGGAGTTTAAAGTGTCTGGTTTTTTCTTATTTGGCTCCCCTCTGGGATTAGTACTTGCACTTCGTAAAACAGTAATGCCCGCCTTGGATGGTACGGAGATTTTGTTTTTCTTCCACCTTTCTGCATTTCCACATTTTCTGCTTTTCTCATCCATTGTAGACACAGCTATTTACACATTCGTTTGTGTCTTTCAGTGGCTCAAATGCAGCCGTCCTGCGAACAGATCTATAACCTGTTTCATGCTGCTGACCCCTGTGCTTCCCGCCTGGAACCTCTGCTAGCTCAACAGTTTCATGCTGTGCCTCCTTTTGGGGTCCCCCGCTATCAGAAATACCCCCTGGGAGATGGCTCCTCCACTTTATTAGGTGAGAAAAACTGTGAAGGCCAGGCTTGCATTAGATTGGCAGCACAGTGGACTGGAGAGCTCTGTGGCCGGACCCCGTAGGATTCTGTTGCTTCTTTTCTTTTGGAAATATGAAAGTGGGAGGCTGGGCTACAGGGCAAGGGATAAGGGATGTTTGAGGTGTGGTTCTGAACTTAAGGAACTGCAGAGCACAAGATTTGGTTCTCTGGTTTATAGTAGTACTGATCATGGTGGTGCATTTGTTTTACGTCTACGATACAAAATAAAGTAAAATGCACGTTTTAGGAGATGTTGTTTTGTTCAATCATAAGGGCTCCTATGTTGTTCTCAACAATATGCCTTAACGGAAGTGAGGGAGAATAATATTTAAGGAGGAATTCTCTGGAGCCAGTCTCTTAAGGCAATAGAGGAATTTGGTAGAGCAGCCATGTCCCTTTAGCCCTTTGGTGAGAGGATGTCACATGTTTATATTATTTATTTGTAGTTGCTGTATCTATTTCTCAGTGGAAAGGGTGATTTATTTCAGCTGATGGCGGAAGAAGGGAACAGAGGGGGACAAAGAGGAAAGCAAGCAAAAGGTCAACCACATTTGAAATTACAGTGTGAAAGTGCTTCTGTTTAGAAGGGAAAGAGCTTAGGAAGGGAAGGAGCCTGACAGAGCTGATCTTTCATCCTTTAGCCATTAGCCTTGCTTCCTATTTATTATCCTACGTTAGCGATATAATAAAATGCTTTGTCCTTGTATGGAAAAACCGCCCGGAACAAGAGGTAATGGTGTGAAGCAGACATCTCTGAATGATAGATTTTTATTTGTAGGGAATGTTGTACGGAGGGACATAAAAGTTCTCACCTCTGTGGTCTGAAGTGATCACCGCCACTAATTCTGCTGCATGTGCTGATTGATACGCAGGACCTTTCTGCACTTGAGGCTTAATCAAGACAGAAACATGTTCTGGCCGAATCTGCATTGCTTCTAGTCTCTTCATGATAGGGCCTGCTTTGGATCCCCAGCCCACAAGTCAGCCAGTGTTAAGCCCTCTAAGTTAGACTCGTGTTATAATAGTAGTAGTAGTAGTAGTAGTAGTAGTAGTAGTAGTAGTAGTAAAGTTGGAAGGGACCTTGGAGGTCATCTAGTCCAACCCCCTGCTCAGGCAGGAAACCCTATACCATTTCGGACAAATGGCTGTCCAGTCTCTTCTTAAAAACTTCCAGTATTGGAGCATTCACTGCTTCTGGAGGCAGGCTGTTCCACTGGTTAATTGTTCTAACTGTCAGGAAATTTCTCCTTAGTTCTAGGTTGCTTCTCTCCTTGCTTAGTTTCCACCCGTTGCTTCTTGTCCTGTTAAAGTAGTATTTCTTCTTTTAGGCCAGATCTGTTCAAAGGGAGCTTCTTCTGCAAATGCTAACAATTCTTCCATCTATTGATGATCAACCAGTAGCTTTTGAAAAGTTTTATCTGTCAGGCCCAAGGAGGAAGTTTACTTCCTCCCTCAGAATATATATATAGAGTGATAATGATAGGAGGGGAATTTCCTTTCTGGTTCTTTTTTTTTTTTTAGCTGTTCAGCAATATAAATTTGAAACCTCTTGAGTAGAAATGTGTAATTTATATTAGTCTTATTCCATTGTTTTTTTTCTTTTTAGAACTATAATGTTCTAATTACTTTCCTGTGTTATTGACAGAGATAGTGTACACGTTGTGAGAGAGAACTTGCAGACTACTGCATAAATTTAAGAGAAAACGCAAATGTGCTCCTGAGCGATGTTTTCCATTCATCTGCCATGCTAAGGAGCCTTTTACGTTTGCCTGTCGTGCACTCTTGATGCATTGAGGTATCTGCAGAGAGGAAGTTCAGCAAGAAGCATTTCTTGAGAAATTAGAGCCTAGAGAGATAGTGATGCTGTTGTAGGAGAAAGACCATAGAAACAGTAGAGTCCGTAGAATTGACTACAAACAGCAAATCACGATGTTTATTATATTTACATGTTGCATTATATTATACATATATTATATTTACGTGTCATTCAGCAGCTCAGGACAGCGTATTTGGCACTCCCTTCTCTTGTTTTCCCTCAAATAGCCCGTTGAACGGGTTGGGCTGAGAGGTGTTGTGACTGGTCCAAAATCTCCCAATGAGCTCGAGGCTGAACTAGAACTGAGTTTCTCTGATCCTAGTCCAGGTTTTCCCCCACTACATCACGGGATCCATGTCATCATTGAAACTACTGCTATGCTGTGATTGTATGAGATGTGTGTGTGTGTGTGTGTGTGTGTGTACACGCACTTCTTCTTTAAGGAATAGCAACCTGCTGCTGCCTTGCTGAGTTAATTCCCCAAAAGAAATTAGGAGAATTACAGTTCCAATACAGCTGGAGACGGTGAATTTAGGAAAGGCTGATATCGTAGTACAGCAGTGGAGGATTGGAAATACGCCGTCACTGTGTTCACCTCTGCTTATGTTTCTCCTTGAACTAGCCGATGCCTTGCAGAGTCATTCTTCCCTCTTTGTAAGTGAGCTGGACCTTGTGACTCCACCCACTCCAACAGGTGCATTTGGAGGCTTCTGGAAAGGAAATGAGGGAACGGCGAGTGACAGCACTGCAAGCAGCACCAATGAAGTTGTCAAAAGTGAGTCACTTGCTGCCTTTTTGTACTAATTTCCTCAAAACCAGATTTGATCTGTTGGTTGTTTTAGTCAGCTTAGAGCAGGCGCATCAAACTGCTGACCCGTGGGCCGGATGCATCATGCCAAAACCGCGCCCACCCCAGTGTCAGGAATAGGGGAAAAGTCATGATACATCACGACACGTGACGTCGCGAGTTGGACACCCGTGGCTTAAAGCACGGTAGCAAGCCATTTGGTATTATAGGAAAGGTATGATAGGAAAGGTCATCAGTTTTCTGCGTTTAAAAGGCATTATTTTCTTTTAAAAATTCTTAATTGTTTGGCAGGTTTATTCCTGTTTTAATTTCCTTAGGCTTTACAAACAATATTAGAAAATGTGTCATCTAGTTTTTTTAGTTGAAGTGCTAGGAGGTTACATGTCTTTTCTGTGTCTCTTTTGTATCCGAGATACTGGCGTATAAAGCTGTTCCCTCATGTCAGCAGATCAGAATGAAGTGCCTGGTCCTTGAATAGATTCATTGAAGATTCAGTCAGAAATCTGAACAAAGGTTCTTGTTTCTGTGAAACAAATGAGTATATTTTGCAAGGTTGCAATTTATTTGGGTGCCAAGAAAATACTTGTTCATTGAGTGGAAGACCCAAATTCCACAGCTTGGCCACACTGAGCTACTTTGTATCACTTCTGGAGTGCTCAAAAACATCCAATGGCCATTATGGTGATTAAGAACGTACTTCTGGACAGAGCGGGCCACTTCAATTTTGCTGGAACAGAATGTTATAAAACAGCTTTAAACATTCCTGCAGAAGCTCTGACAGCTAGCACCAAACTAGATATGATGTTAAAAGAATATTTGCATTAAGTGTGTGAGGTTTGTATCTTTCTTTTAAACATCAGTCATTAGTTGTACAGTAGGTAGGGACTGATGCATATCAGAATTTAATCATTAAAAACAAGGGTATAGCTTCCATTGAGGGACCCCAGTGAAGGAACAGAATATTGAATTCTTTTGTTGTATCTGTATTAATGTCTAGAAATTAATGCTATTTGTACTTTTAAGCAACTGCAGCTTAAAAGTAAAGATTCATTTAATGGCAAGTGCCCTTTGATCCTTGAGTCTTTTGTGATTTCTTTGGGGGGAGCTGGATAAATTGAAAAGGTATTACGCATTAATGAAACTGTTCAGCAGCTGCTGTTCTGCTGAGATTTCACTTAGAGTCACCTCTTTGGGCTTTTATTAAGCACACAGATAACATTAACTTGCTGGAAAGAAATAGATTTTATTTATTTATTTATTTATTTAATTTTATTTATATGCCGCCCAATCCCAAAGTTCTCAGGGCGGCGTACAAAATTAAAACAATCATCTAACAATAAAACAATAAAATAATACAATCATACAGCATGTCCGATCATATCCCGCCCCCCCCCCCTCGGGGACATCAGCCCCAGGCCTGCCGGAACAGGAGAGTTTTAACGGCTTTCTTAAAGGCCGGCAGGGTGGGAGTAGTTTGAACCTAGGGGGGAAGTTGATTCCACCAGGTCCGAGCCACCACAGAAAAGGCCCTTCCCCGAGGGCCCGCCAGCTGACATTGTCTGGCCGACGGGACCTGAAGGAGGCCCAATCTATGGGACCTCACCGGTCTCTGGGAACTGTGCGGCAGTATGCGGTCCTGTAAGTAACCTGGCCCTATGCCATGAAGGGCTTTAAAGGTGATAACCAACACCTTGAATTGCGTCCGGAGACCCACAGGAAGCCAGTGCAGCTCGTGGAGGATAGGTGACACGTGGGTGTACCTTGGCGCGGCTGCATTCTGAACCAACTGCAGCCTCCGAACGCTCTTCAAGGGTAGCCCCATGTAGAGCGCGTTACAGTAATCCAGTCTTGAGGTGACAAAGGCATGAGTGACCGTGAGTAAAGCCTCCCGGTCCAAATAAGGCCGCAACTGGTGCACCAGGCGAACCTGGGCAAAGGTCCCCCTGGCCACAGCCGATAGATGTTGTGGAAATGAGCTTCCTCACTATAATTCTGCTCTAGCATATGTCACAACATGGATATGTTTTGCTGCTAGTCAGTATTGTCCCTAACCTGAAGAATTCAACAATCTCCCACGTTGTAACTTTATTCATGTATCTTGATAATAGCCATTGAAAAGACGTGTTTTGCTAGTTTTTTTTAAAATGCATTGTTCATTTCTGCTTTGTCACACGTTTTTGAAGTCTTGGCCAGTGTAATGTAGTGCTTCTTGAGAATACTAATATCTGCAAAGGACTAATTGCTTTGATGGATCCACTATATCTATTAATGTTTTTAATGGTTTTATGTAGCTTTATATAAGATGAAAAATACGATGCATTAATGCCCATGGACAGGGGTAGGCAACCTTGGCTCTTTTATGACTCATGGACTTCAACTCCCAGAATTCCTGAGCAAGCTATGCTGGCTCAGGAATTCTGGGAGTTGAAGTCCATGAGTCATAAAAGAGCCAAGGTTGTCTACCCCTGCTCATGGGGGTAAAGTTCCTTTGCCATTTCTTTTTCAGGGATTGTTTTCCCTTGTATTTCATATCTTTATATGCTTTTTAAAGGGTAAAATAATAGAGAAATATTTAAAAAGGATGACCAATAAAAGCAGTCAAACATGCCAAGGACCTTTTTACCCATTTTAGAGGAGAAAGGGAAAGAATAGGGGCATCTTTAGGGCATCATCCTAATATGGTTTCTCCTCCCCTTTGGTCTAGTTCTGGATCGTTGGTGGGGCTCTAAACGCATCGACTACTCTCTCTACTGCCCTGAGGCACTCACGGCCTTTCCCACCATCACCCTGCCTCACCTTTTCCATGCCAGCTATTGGGAAAGTGCTGATGTGGCTGCCTTCATCTTACGCCAGGTGGGCCATTGCAAGCCAGATGGAAATTAACCTGTGTGTATGTCCTGTGGAACGTATGTCCTGTACTTGTTTGATTTGACTAGAGGCAACCAAGCGAGCTTCCCTCAAAGGCAGCTTAAAAGATGATCTGGGATTGTCTTTCAGGCTGTCAAGCAAAGTATCACCGACCCACTGTCGGATCGCTATAGGTCTTGCAGTGAAAGAAGTCCCACCGCCCACCTCTCTGGGCAAAAGGAGAATGAAACAGATCGCTTGCGTGCAATTGCACCCAGATATATCCATGTGACATTCTCACGCTCTGCATATATCTTGTTAAATGCAAAAAGGGGAAGAGTATTTGCTCATGAAAAAATAAAGGGAGGGAGGAATTTTCTTGCCGTTTTTAAGCACCCCATTTTTGAGTTGGAAATATATCGGCTCATCTCTTGACCGCGGCTGACATCGTGGAATCACAGAAAGCCGAAAAATGCCTTTGAAATGAGGCAGGATCCTCCTTTGGAAGGGCTCTAAGGTAGAAGGCAAAGAAACGGGGTGTGCTTTGGTGGCTAAATCTTACCTTGACAGGTCAAGCCTAAATGAGTTCTGAGACTCAATCGTTTTAGCTGCTAAATCATGTCCTTAGATTTCCAAAGGTCCTATACTTAATTCTTAGCATCTCCCTCCATAAGAGAAAGTCCTACTGCACTGCGCGTAGTTCTCAACTTAAAACAGTTCATTTAGTGCAGTGGTTCTCAACCTTTTTAATGCTGCGACCCCCAACCGGTCGTAAGTCGAGTACTACTCAACCGGTCGTAAGTCGAGGACTACTCAACTGGTGCAGCACCGTTTGCAGAATGGGACTTTTGGCGGGCTCAGCAGGGCAGAGACAGCCTGGACAATTCCTATTGGCTTTTGAAAGCCAATAGAATAAAAGGGAGTAGCACAGCTAAGGAAAAGGGGGAAAAAATGGTGGACTGCGTTGTTTGGCGACCCCCGTGAAATGGTCGTTCGACCCCAAATGGGGTCCCGACCCACAGGTTGAGAACCACTGATTTAGTGAGTGTTTAAAGTTACAAGGGCACTAAAAAAAGTGACGACCGTTTTTCCACACTTAACGACTGTTGCAGCATCGCCACGGTCCCGTGATCAGCATCCAGACCCTTGACAACCAGCATGTATTTGTAACAGTTGCAGTGTCCCAGGATCACGGGATCCCCTTTTGCCACCGTCTGACACGCGAAGTCAATGGGAAAGCCAGATTCACTTAACAACCATGTTACTAACTTAACAACTGGAGCGATTCGCTTAACCGTGGCAAGAAAAGTTGTAAAATGGGGCAAAATTTGCTTAACAAATATTTGGCTTAGCCACAGAAATTTTGGGCTCAGTTGTGGTCATAAGTCAAGGATTATCTGTAGAAAACAACCAGGGACCAACTTCCCCCTTGTAAGACACACAGTGCACCTCCCGCTCCGTTCTGCTACCAGAATTTCTATTTCGCCTTCCGGTTTTTTTAATTTAACAAAATTACAATTAGCAGTGGAAACGTTTTTAAATCGTAATGCCTTTAGCATTTTTCCTCTCTTTTCTTGAATGTCAAAACAGGAACAATGTTCTGCAAGCTGGAAAATGCTTGTAAGGGGGAAGGAGGCTTGTTTTTGCTGCTTTTCAGCACACACCCACACACTTGTGTAGGTTTCAGTATGCATGCAATTTTATATTTAAAGTTGGATTCCGCTGTGTATAATTGCGGGTGTGTTATATACAGCAATTGCACAGGCTGTGACAGGACACAAAGCCACTGCACAATTTCCCACTACTCACAGAATTACAGCATTTTACTTGGCTTTATTCTGAAGCCAACTTTTGTTTATAACTCTACAGGCGTTCATGCAGCTATACACTGCAACAACAAAGAAGCAGCTTTTGTGAATACCCAACTACTTACTGCATTACGCCGTGCCTTTCGGCATCGTTGTGTATAATAAAACATCAGTGACCTTTAAAACTCTGGCTGCTTCTCCCAAAATTGCAATTCTGTACATAGCTAGGTGGCCCTTAATTTTGTATTACCCGTTATAGATTAAATGCTATATTCATTAACAAGTGCCAGCTCAGCAAAAATTGCATTTGGAAGAATACCAGGAAGAAGCCGTGCCTCAGAGACAAGAGGGATCCCAGCACTCTCTTGCCCAGGCTAGTAGAAGCATGGCAAAGCATGCTTGCCTTGTCCGCTTTTGAAGCAGTCTTGATGCCGAAAATTAAGGGATTGTTCCCTTTAAATACTGGCTACATATTAAAGCAGGGCAAATCTGGACATCAGTCCTTTTTGCCCAGTATGTTTCGCGGCCTAGAATGTACAGTCTCTGATTGCAGGTGATTGAGACAGAGCAGCACCAAGTGACTGAAAGCGAGGAGAGTTCGATCTACAGTCCAGCATTTCCCCGTGAAAAGTGGCAGCGCAAACGGACGCAAGTGAAGATCCGGGTACGAACCTCCTGTGTCTTCTTCTCTCAGCTTTCCTTGGGTCTTTTCTCTTGTAGTTTTCAGGGCATGTTGAGGTCTGGCTTAGGTTGCTCTACTGGCTTTGTAGGAAGATACGTAGTCTGATCATATTTATTTCCTGCTCCTAATGTTCCTGAATCCGTCACCGGTGTCGATCTCACATTGTTTGCCTTTAACTCCCCTAAACATTATGACAATCATTTTGATTCCGCAGGAACAACATATTGTTGTCGCAATTCAAAATCTGATTTTACTTAGATAATATTATTTGTATGATGTACTGGGTTTTTGATATTGACTGGGAGACTTACTTCACTTTCATAACATCTTGATTTTTTCTAGGTTCAGGTTTGGCCCCTGAAATGAATTAGCAGCAAGCTGTTATGGGCTGTGATGGTTGTGAGCATTGGCACCCAAAACATGAGCTATTGGCAAACTAGGGTCATAGTGCTAAATGTAGGATGAAAATCCTTTACTCATAATACATAAAAGGTGATAAGCTGCCTTCTCTAGTGGAATATAATGGTGGTTGTTTTATTAGTAGGAAAAACTCAGTACAAGATATCCCTATAATTCCTATGGCTACTGATTTTATTTTTAAAGACACTCTTATATAGTTAACCAAGCTGGAACACAAAGCATCCCCCCCCCAAAAAAAAGATTTGTTCAGTCGCATAAATGTCCTTCTAATGCAGCTAGAAGAACAGAGAGCTATTATGCAGTAAAATTCTCCTGCCTGCTCTAAATAACAGTTGTTGCATGAGTTTCGTTCATGATTTGGGAATCAAGGTATTTAAATTCTCAAACCAGCTCTGTTGCAATCTCACTGCAGACATCCATTTCTTGAGAAATTCTCCCCTTGTCCAGTTTTGCAATGATGAGGTTAATAATGTCTGGCTTTTTGTTTTTCAGAATGTTACAGCGAACCATCGTGCCAGTGATGTGGTTGTGTGTGAGGGACGACCCCAAGTCCTTAGCGGGCGCTTCATGTACGGTCCACTTGATGTGGTAACTCTCACTGGAGAGAAGGTAACCAAGGTTTTAGTTTGATTTACGAGGACAAGTGAACAGGGGTGAGGTGTAATGCTGGCATGAACCTGAGCAAGCAGCATTTTACATGCTGTAAGCCTTCTCTTTCCTAGTGGGCGTATAAACATTATGTAAAATGTTTCCCTTGTGAATGGTTGTTTAGTCCTTCGAGGTAGACCAGACCTGGAAACCAAAATGTCATGTGGGTTAGTGCTACTTTTATTATAACAGTTGTAATAGCAGAATCTTGGAAGTCTGAATATGTCTGTATGAACGAGGGAGGGTTTGTCTGAGACGTTTTCTCAAGGTGCTTTCTTGGCCTGAGCTCAGGCTCCTTTTATCTGACGGTTGTCTTGGTGGCAACTCTTCCTCCTGTCCTTCAAGACTATTCCCTCTGCCCTCTGCAATGGCAGAAGGAAGAAGAACTGATACTGGACCAAGGGCAAGGCTTTCCTGGAACTAAGGAGGGAAAGAGGGCAGCAGAAATAAGTAGCGTTGCAAGCTACTAATTTAAAGCTAAGCCAAGACCATGGGATAGAATGTGGCCTCCGGAGGGATTCTTAGATTTGTTGTGAAAACTTCCCTAGTTCTCGTGTTTAAGTGATCGAGACAGCTGCCTTGTTCTCAGGGGATCTACCATAGAACCAGTTTTCAGATCACCTCAGTGCGAATCCCCCATTTTTCCAGGGTTAGAGTTCCATTAAAACCATTTATGATATGAGCCTGGAACTCATCAATAATAGCAATCTAAAGCTAGCAATCTAAAATTAGAGGGGGGGGGGAGGTTGGGGAGGGGAGAGTAAAGGAAGCCATTCACATTACAACTATGGAATAGAGCAAGTGTTGTATCCTAAGAGGAGGAAACGATTTGCAAGCGAAGTGGAGTAGATGTAGTTGGGGTTGTAATATGAAAACTCCACAGACCCTTGGGAAGGCAAAGAACAGATGTTTTCCAGAAGGACAGAGCTGTTGTAAGAAACAGATAGTAGAAATAAATAAAAAAATATAGGAATTTTGCCTATCCCCTTCAGAGGAATGAATATGAAAAGCTAATAAGTAGAAAATGGATTTTTAAAAACCAACTTAAGGAGAAGATGGGAGTGAAGGAAGGATTTGTGCTCTCTCCTTTTATCGTAGTAACAACTGTCATTTAGCAATCTTAAGGTGTTATTTGTGCCTAGCGGTGTGGTATAACAGTATATGCAATGAGGTGAACACTGCACTGATCTTTCTTTCCAGGTGGACATCTACATAATGCCACAGCCATTGTCAGGGAAATGGGTACATTATGGCACAGAAGTGACAAGTGGTAGCGGGAGGCTTTCTTACACCCTTCCTGAAGAGAAGATGCTGGGCATTGGCATGTACCCTATCCGTATGGTGGTGAGGTGAATGCATGGTAGATCCTTTCCTGTGCTTGGTCTCTTGGGCAGCCTGTTCTGTGCCAGATATTCTCTTCTACCATCCAGGAAAGCTTGTAACATAATATACGCAATCATCCATAATGCACCACAAAATTATTTATATTATGTTGATTGCAGCCCTTGATTGTGGGATGTGACCCACTGGACCAGAATGGTTCAAATTTGGTCTTGGCAACTGTTTAGCATACAGGTGCAATTGTTACAGTCCAGTTGCCTGCCAATGAAAATAAGCAACTGGTGGCTCTTTAGATGTTGCTGAACTGCAATTCCCAGCAGCCCCAATCAGCATGGCCGATGTTGGGGGTGCTTGGAGGTGTACTTCGCCAACAGGTTTACAGTTAATAGTTGAACTGCTTGGCTTTTTCCTTCTTTGGTTTTCTACGCTGTGGGGGGGGGAGGGAAACCACCCTCACTTGCTTCTATCTTCATGGCTTGTTTGAATGCAGAAGTTGAGCATTTCTGATTCTGAGGGTGTAGGAATATTTGCTTTGGGGCTGACACCTTTCTGTCTCTCCACAGAGGTGATCACACCTATGCTGAATGCTTTCTGACAGTGGTAGCTAAGGGCACACCTTGTGTCGTCTTTAGTATTGATGGCTCCTTCACAGCTAGTGTCTCCATTATGGGCAGTGACCCCAAGGTGCGTGCAGGTGCTGTTGATGTAGTAAGGTAGGTGAATAGCCCTCCTCATAGACTCCTTGTATTTCTTTGAGCTAACTGATCTGCTGTTTCTCTTTCTTAAGGTCTCCAAAATCTGTGCCAGGACTATAGAGAAATTCTTACATATGTTACATTCCTCAACAGAGTTACTTTCTAGTATTCTTCCTTATTCTTTAAATCTTTTTTTTCCCAATACTTACCCTAATTAATTTTTTCCCATTAAGGGCAAAATATTTTAAAAAAAGATGTTTAATAAGTAACAGTTACAAAAAAGCAATTTAAAGCACCAATTGAAAACAGTTCGGCTGTTTTCCTTCACACTAATAATAAGTTTGCATGCCAACTTCCATATTTGTCCCTGCCAACATGCTGTCAGAATAAATTTCTTGGAAGAAGCTTTCATTAAAGCAACTGGTTTTTTTTTCCTACTTTAAAATAGCATTCTAACATCACTGTTCTTTTTATGAAAAATGAAGAGAGAAGCATGTCTACTCACTTTGTCAGCTTTAATAAACAGTTTGGTTGTTGAATATTGATAGTGTTTTCTATGAATCAGACTGGATTCATACCAACAATACACTGGAAGTTTTTAAGAAGAAACTGGACAGCCATTTGTCCGAAATAGTATAGGGTTTCTTGCCTGAGCAGGGGGCTGGACTAGATGACCTCCAAGGTGCCTTCCAACTTTATTATTATTATTATTATTATTATTATTATTATTATTATTATTATTATTATTATTATTATTATTATATGCTTGTTAGAGAATGCAGGTTCTTTCTATTGTTTTCAATCGCACTATAGTTACCAAATGAAAGGATTTCTTTATATAAACCCTATATACAGTGCTTTTTTTGAAGAAAAAAAAAAAGGTGTCGGAACTCACACACGTCATATAACCCGCCTTGCCTACCCTACAAGATTCCATCCAAAAAAGGTGCCAGAATTCCATTCTGGGCATTCTATGACAAAAAAAGCCTTGCGATATAAATTAAAACATGAAATTTATTGCAGTGAGGGAGAATTCACTACTTTCCCTCACTGCATTCATTATTCCAGTGGTGGTGAACCTATGGCACGCGTGCCAGAGGCGGCACTCGGAGCCCTCTCTGTGGGCACACGTGCAGTTGCCCCAGCTTTGCCCCCCTGACCCCCTCCTCACCAGCAACCCCCCTGGAGGCGAGTCGCCCCCGAGCATGGCCCATGCAGAGCAGTGCAGTCAAGGACATGGCAGCCAACGTAGACAAGAATCTGCCTTCATGCCCCATTGTGCACAGTTGATGCTATGGGGCGTGGGCAGAGGGCGTGGCCTCCATGGCGCAGTGGGGCTGCCTGGGCAATCTGCGGCAGGCCCTGGAGGCGGTGAGTGGCCTTGTGGGCAGGCTCGGGGGGGGCAGGGGCTGGAGCAAGCGCGGGGCCAGTTTGTGAGCACTCGGTCTCTAAAAGGTTCGCCATCACTGCACTATTCCCTCCCTGACCTGTTCTGACTTTTCCAGGGGCAAAATATATTTATAACCTGTCCCACTAATATTCTTCGAACATGCATTGATGGTGACTCAAAAGGGCCTTTTTTAAAGGAAATAAATGCAAAAATGCTACAAAGACAACATGCCCTTTCGTTACAGCTTTATCATAATTAGGACCAACAATATCCCCTAGATACAATCCTTCCATCTTCATACTCTTCGATAGGGTCAGGAAATTCAGATGTTAAGAACTACCGCTCCCACAATCCTTTGCTAGGAGTGACTACGGTTTTAGGGCTGCTAAGGAGAAGTAAACTGAAATATTTGGAAAACAGCAGGTTTTTAGTTTGTTCTCCATCTTTCCCTTTGCTTTTGTAGACATTGGCAAGATTCTGGTTTCATGATCATCTACGTGACAGGGCGTCCAGACATGCAGAAGCACAGAGTGGTGGCTTGGCTTACCCAGCATAATTTCCCACATGGCATTGTCTCTTTCTGTGATGGCCTCACACATGACCCTCTTCGCCAGAAAGCTGCCTTTCTACAGGGCCTTCAGCAAGAGGTATGTAACCACTTGTGTTCTTGCACAACCGGGAGAGGTATACAATAGAGCAGGGCTTTTCAACTTTTTTACCCATTGTACCACTTTTAGGATATGGCAATATCCGAGTACCACCAGTTGCCTAGCAATATGTCAGAAACTTGATGACCCCCCCCCCAAAAGGAAAAAAGTAATAAAGTACAGGTAGTCCTTGACTTACAACAGTTCGCTTAGTGACTGTTCAAAATTACAATGGCACTGAAAAAAGTGCTCCCCGATCCACAGCCGAGCAAGACACCTGCCTGCTCGCCCAGTGGCACTCTTCCTCCTGTCTGAGCTTTTCATTGTTGTGAGCATTTCTATTGAGGATTGGCAGCGGGGGTGGAGTGGGGTGTATTTGATTTTTATTCCCCCTGTCTACTGGGTGGTTGCAGCAGGTTTTGGTCACTTCACATGACCCTGGGACACTGTGACCATCATAAATATGAATCTGAATGTAAATCACAAGACCCTGGAGATGCTGCAACATTCCAGCTGATTGGCACTTCTTCTGGGCTCAGCAGAAGCGCCAGGATCAGCGCCGAGCTCCAGCTGGAGCCTGGCACTGAGACTGGCGCTTCCGCTGAGCCCTGACAGCCCTGCAGCTCCAGCCATCTCTTCTCAGGCTTGTGTGGTGCTGCCATCAGTTCAGCTCATTCCCCTCCCCCGTTACTTTTCTTGGATGGTCGCGTACCATCTGCCAGGTGCCAATGTACCATGGGTGGTACCCGTACCACTGGTTGAAATGCCCTGCAATAGAGATTCTACTCTGGTGTAACTGAGGAGCTTGTGGAAAAAGCTGGAGGAGGACCACAGGAGAAAGGAGAGGGAAAAGAAGGGAGGAATGTGACTGAGGTGGCTAGTAGGGCCCAACTCTCAGAGAAACAGCCTCTCCTGGTTTCGTTCTAACATTCTGCAGGAGAGGCTGCATGGCCTTGCTTATCTGGTGGCCTTGTCTCATATTCTGCTAGGTCAGGCTATGTAACTCTGGAAGTGGGTTGGTCCATAATACAGTGGTTCTCAACCTTTTTAATGCCGTGACCCCAACCGGTCGTAAGTTGAGGACTACCCAACCGGTCGTAAGTCGAGGACTACCCAACCGGTTGTAAGTTGAGGACTTTCCCTGCCCGGGAGCGCTGCGCATGCGTGGTGCTGTCCCCTGCGCCAGCCAAGGCATAGCTGGCAAACGGCAGAGATGGCGCAGGCCGACCACCAGCTGGGCCACCAGCTGGCCCAGCCCAAGGGAGGTAAGGCACCCGCCGGGCCCCATGCGCACCAGCAACCCTCCGTGCGCCCGCTGGCCTCCCACCTCCCACCCCTGGCCCTCTTTTACTTACATTTTTAATAGTTGCTCAGCAGGGAGGGGTGGAAACTTCCAGACAGCTCGCTTTCGCTGCAGACAACTTGCAGCACCGTTTGCAGAATGGGACTTTTGGCGGGTTCAGCAGGGCAGAGACAGCCTGGACAATTCCTATTGGCTTTTGAAAGCCAATAGAATTAGACTCTATTCCAGAGAGTCTATTCTATTGGCTTTCAAAAGCCAATAGAATAAAAGGGAGTAGCACAGCTAAGGAAAAGGGGGGAAAAATGGCGGACTGCATTGTTTGGCGACCCCCATGAAATGGTCGTTCGACCCCAAATGGGGTCCCGACCCACAGGTTGAGAACCACTGCCATAATAGGTCTAAAGCGAGTCAGCTGAGCGACTAGGCGGCAAGTGCCACATTGTGATGAGGTCCCCCTTACATAAGTGTGTAAATAATGCATCAATTTCACCAGGCTTTGAATAGTTAATTAGTGTTGATATTCATTTTAATTTATGGATTTGGTACTTTTATCATCTGCATTTTAATTATTTTGCACTTGTATATTTGCTTGAATAGGAAGGGCCTAAAATTAATTTTAAAATGTCTTTTGCTTATTTGTTGTAGGCAGAGGTTACTATTGTAGCTGCCTATGGTTCCACCAAGGACATCTCAGTCTATAGCTCTTTAGGGCTTCCTTCATCCCAAATTTACATTGTGGGCCGGGCTGTGAAGAAATTGCAAAGCCAGTGCCAGGTATGGAGTTGGCTCAGCTATGGTTCTGCCCAGCCAGCTGAGCGATTAGGCGGCAAGTGCCAAATTGTGATAAGGGCCCCCTTGCAAAGGCTGTGGCTTATTTAGAAATGGGTGATTAACTGCCTTAATCTTTCTCCTTGCAGTTCCTTTCAGATGGCTACGTTGCCCATCTAGCCCAGCTGGAAGCAGCATCCCTTGCCCACTCGCCGAAGGGAACAACAAGGCCCACTTTGGGCAAAGGCAGTTATGGCTGCCCTGCTCCTGTTGACTTTCTGCGCAAGCAGAGCCAGCTGTTGCGTTCCCGGGGACAGAGCCAGGTGGAACGAGAGGGAACAGGAAGCACCCAGCCCCGAGCCAAAATCCGGAGTATCAGTCTGAAGCTGGAGAGTGAGGAGTAAACCCAAGAAAGAAAGTCTCTGCATTTTCTTACTTGCAGCAGCTGATGCTTGGATTGGGCCTGTAGAGGCCACAGATGGGAGAGAAAGAAGCTAAGAACAACATGCAGATAGAGAGAGAGAGAGAGGGAGGGAGGGAGAGAGAGAGAAAGAGAGAGAGAAAGGGCTCTGCCTTGCCGAGGCCAGAAGCTGGCAGACAGCGCTGCTAGGATGAGGAAGAGAGAGCTTCTGTCCAATCCCAGAGAGTGTTCTGTTCCCATTGACCCAGTTCTTGGCTTCTGTTTGTGGTCCTCCTTGACCTACAGTGCAGCCAGTGTTCCTGAACTCATGCCCCCCTAGGGATGGGTGGAGGGGAAGGGCACAATGGGAATCCATTCATATTCTCCCCTTATTTAAACTGTGCCATGTTGTTTGTGAATTCCTTTTTCCAGAATGTGAGGCCCGTTAAGATTGGGTTATATCCCTTCTCCCAGCCTGTCCATAGGTGAGGCAGTGGCCCTCATGATTTCTCAAGTCTTCCCACAATCCTCTCCAGTTTAAGGTAGGCTGGATGGTTCAGGAAAAAAAAGGCATATATCTATATATCTATATATTTCCGTATAAATATATATGGATTCCAGCATGGCCATTTCACCTCCGAGGCTGAGCGCCTTGCTCCAGCCTCTACTTCAATTCTCAGCCTTCATCCTGCCTATACTTTGTTGGTCGTTGGATATCTGCATGATACTGCCTTTCTGTGCATGTATTGTGTCCGGAATGAGAGCACGGGAGAGTAAGGTTTAAGGGTGAATCTGTACTTCCTTTCTGGACATTTGGGGTGGGGGGTGGGGGTGGGATTTGCTTCACAGTGTCCAAACTGCTGGGAAGCAGAGAGGCAGAAAGAAGAACCCCGCTTTGGAGGATTTATGGGAATTTTGCATTCTTTCAATGTGTTCACAAAACAATAAAATTTTAAGTATTAAACATTGTAAATACCTTGAAGCCGTTGGGATTTTTAATTCAGCATTCTTTTAAGTAGGGATGAATGCTTCTAAACAAGAAACTAAATTCTGCCCTATAAATCTAAGTGTTTGTCTGTGTGTCTGTCTCTGTGTGTGTGCTTATAAAACACTAAAACAATAGCAAAAGGTTGGAACTTTAAAGAGGAACTCAACTTTCACTTATCTTTCTTTCTCCACTAAAATGGGAACGGTAACAGTCGTTCCCAATCTCCCGTGCATACCCAGAAAAGGATGCACTTCTTTCTATCAAAACACGTCTAATCTTTGCCCACCCAATAGCTGCTGAAGTGGGTATAGTGGAAAAGTGCTTATCTATCATCTGTTTTGCAATTCCCCAACTGGAATATGAAAGAAAACAGGTTTATGTACTGAAGTCCCAATTTTCCAATGAAATATGCAAACCTATCACGGATGTATGACAGTTGTGGGACTGCAAAAGCCGTATTGGGAACATTGTTAATAAAATGTAAAACATATCCTTTCTCTTCTTAAATTGAAAGCTGAGATATAAATTTGTAGAAATTAAACGAGAAACTCAAAAACATCTCAGCTGATGAGTTTATGTACTGCTAAGATGGGATGGATGCTAACTGAAGTAAATGTTGTCACCAGTAGTTAGCCATACACATTTTCACGCACACAAAGTATTGCACCGTGACACATAAAATCCATGTATAAAATATGCGTGAATCAATAATGCAACATTGTCTGTCAGCCCATTCAACAATAAAAAAATAACATTTCTTGGCAGAATATGTGTGGCAACATAAGGCCTTTTGTTTTTAAGTGTTCAGTTTGCTTTCATATTTTAACGTCTTCAACGTTAGGAAAGCGTGCCATGAGAATTCATTAAAAAAAATTCCAATTTTAGTACAACTTGAAATATCCCTGTGTTCATTATTGTGAGATTCGGTGTATTCATTTAAATATTTCAGTTTGAAGGGAGGTTCATCATTTCCCCCTTTGAAACAGTCAGTGTTAGCTTTTGTTTTTTACTTTTTGACGTGCTCCTTGGACGCACTACATCTGTACATGCCTTTCCCTGGCATTCTGTACCAATTTTCTCAGGTAAAGACCTATTGTATAAATTACCAGGAAGAGAATGTGTAACCAGTCTCCATGAAAGAAAATGTAGAACATTTTGAGGGTGGGTGATGGGGGGGACTGTGACAACACTGTAGACTGACTCACCTGTTCTACTTCGCTGCCTGCCTGCCAGTTCCCCATTGTGGTTTCTGAGATTCAATCGTTTGGGCTCTGAGCCTCTGCAGCAATGCATGATATGACCTTCCAGAGCTCAAGGTTGCTTTGCTGGCACAACTGTCAGAAAATTAAACAAATGACCAAAAAAAAAAAAAAAAATGACCTCAGCAACTGAAGCCAAGAAGCCATGATTCAAGCCAGAAGCCATGATTTACAGCTAGATGAGCCCCATATTGGAGGTGAAATTAGGGATAGGTTCTACAACATTTGCTGCACTACAAATCTCTTTCTAGATCAGTGTTTCTCAACCTTGACAATTTTAAGGCATGTGGACTTCAACTCCCAGAATTCCACAGCCAGATCTTTAGCTAGTACTAGTTGTAGAACAAGCAAAAGTCCACTCCAGCCTGACATTTTTGGAGATTATGCAGCTATCTTGCTGCACAGTAATTGCCCTTGTCTCTGGAATCAATCCTATGTTCTCTGTGGGAAAAGATGGACAGGTTCATCTTCCAGGATCTCAGAAGAGCCATTTCCAATTTTTCCCAAGTAAGCTAAATTAACTCAGGTGGCTATAAACAATTTCTGGAAGTGATTATTTCTGCTAAAGAAGATAGTACAAAGAGCTGACAGAACAGGAGCCAGTCTTCTGCACTGGCCATATTCACTGTCTAATTTTAAATCTTTAAAACTGTTGCAGATTAAAAGTACGTATTAAATTTGGCATAAAAATGACGTGCTTAATTGTACCACACAGAGGTTAATTGAATTTCTGTTAGGAGTTGTTGAAGTGTGCAGTTTGATCAAAGATGCCTAACCTTTGCATACAGCTGTGGATCAAAGGCAGCCAAGATGATGGATGCCAGCCTTACAATTTATACACATCCTGTATATGAATTTTGTTATCACGGAGAGAGGGATGTAGTTGAAATATTACTGTGCCTAACAGATAACTTGCAGAGCTGGTGCACAGAAAGAGAGAACATCTAATTTTTAGCAAACTTATTATTTTCCGCAACTAATTTTTGAAGTGTAGGTTATCAGCTGAAGGCAGGTGTCAGTATAAAATGGTATAGAGTATGTCCTATATGTCTAGAGAGATTTGCAATCTTCCAGGTCATAGTTGTCCCAAAGGTGCTGTTTTCCAAAAGGCAACTGGACTTCTTGGGGTTTTTTTCTTTGAAAATGCTCTTAAATGTTTCACTTCTCATCCAAGAAACTTCTTCATTTCAGAACTGAAGGAGATTCTTGGATGAGAACTGAAATGTTTATTATTGTTGTTTTTTTTTTTAAAAAAAACTCCAGTTGCCTTTTGAAAAAAAGCACCTTTGGGAGAATATATTATAGTTTCAATGATAGGCTGTAGAATCAATTTTTGGTCTGAATTTCTCTAGATTTAGAGACTATAAGCTACGCTCAGCTGTTGGCAAATGTATAACTTTACTAATTGTACTATTTAATTATTAAATCTTGTGTTATGTATTAAAATTACTAACTGCCATGAGTGGAAAGGAGAATAGAAATTAAGAAATATGAAGTTTGACCAGCTTCGGTGTTCATATGGCTGGTCGGTGTGATTTCCAGGTGTTGCGTGTTCTCAGTTCCTTTTTCCTTATCTCTATCACCTATTCTGTTTTAATGTCACCTTTGTTCAGAATACAGCTCCTCCTGATTATTTTATTTACACAAGGGAGAAGCGAAAGCAACGTCAATAAGTAACAGGAGGATCAGGACACCAAGGGTTGTCTGAAATTATGTTTCATGGGATCTAGTGTATAGCAGTCATTCTTAGTCTTCAGAGGCAGTCCTCCGCCTCTCCTTTTTCTCCTTTTTCAAGAAATGGACTTGGTCCAGTTGAGCCAACTGAGCTGTGCTATAAGGAGATTGGCTTATGTGGGACTTTTAGAGTTTCACTGATCACCCAGGATTCCAACAACACCAGGGACAAATGAGGTGATATATTCTCCAAGTGCCTACAGGAGACCAGTTGTATCCAGTGCCTTGGTTGGATCGTTGTAGTTTATTTCCCCTCCTATAGCAGCTATTAGTCTAAAACTCACTAAAGGGTGATCTGTCTCTGAGAAGACTTAGAGAGGCCTCCTTCATGTTTGCTGGCTCCAACCGAACAAAATATATCCAACATATATCCTTTTGCCAGATAGAAACTAGGACAGGCCCATGACCAACATGACAAACCGGAGACTCTGAGACACTTGGGATAAGTGCAACCTTTACTTATTGGAGTGCTTCAAGTCAAAAGGCCCACCATCATTCATTGCTCCCATGGATCTTACCCCAGTTAGCTCAGGCAGAGAGACTCGTCCAACCAGCAAATACTGAAATTTGCAGACTGTTGAAAGAGGCTTTGCTGGTGGAATTTCTACCGAGTGCAGCCATTCCATAACTTGACCTCCCATCCAAGCCTGCTGCATCTGAGTAATCTAGCTAGCAGAGCTGAGAGAGCTTAACTCCCCCCTTTTTCTCAACTAAATCTCTGTCATGCATCCAGGTCAGTGCTTTCAGCCAAAATTAAATTCTGGATAATAGATGTTTTCCAACAACTGATTATAAAAAAAAAACAAGCTTGAATTATAGAGGAAGACACTAAAATTCAAACAGTGCAGCAGGTTCCTTGCTGGATAATTTGAAGAATGTTATATTGTCTTTCCCCCTTTTGTGCTATCTCTTAACTCTTGCAATGAAACAATTGAAAGTATCCTCAATAGAAATAACATGCTTCGAAGAGCCCATTTATCCCTATTATTTTTATCTCGTGTTATCAAAAAATAAAACAGGCATTTGATGTTTCTTCATTAGAGTTTATGGATTGAATCTTAGTGGCTTGAATCATTAAATTTGCTTTTGAATTTTAAAACACAAACCGGAATCAAATCATGCCTTTTGAATATCAGGTCTCCAAATTGAATCAAATTAGGGCAGCTAAGTCACATAAGAACTTTGCATTGATTTGTTTGATGATCCATTTGTTTGTTTTCTTGGTTGTCCATTCTCAAGAGTCTTCAACACCAAATTCTTTCTAGTCAGTTTCTAGTAGATTTCACAATTATTGGGAAGGAGTGGAACAGCAGCACCAGTAGCAATTTAGTTTTATTTCCACTGTGTATATAAGTAGTATGCACATAACACTTGCCTCATCCTATCTCCCAAACCCCAGGCCGAAATGTGCTATTATTCAGTATTTTTTTGCATACACATATATAGATATGCAATTACTGTATGGTTAAAGCTATTGTGAAAAGCACACGCTTCCATGTTATTCCAGCACTATATCAGGGACTTTCAAACGGAATGAAGGAATGGTATTTTCACAACAGGGGTGGTTTCTTCATGTATC